TTGTGGTCTCCTTTGCGGAAAACATTTATTTCATTAAGAGCTAGTAAACTTAACCTTTATTCTCTGGTTTCTTGGGACTCATAGGTGTCTGTGAAGAGCAGTGATAAAGGAGAGGGGAGTTTCAGAAATCTGGCTATGGCAGTACATCTGGGTGTTAAGAGAAACTGAGGATGGCTACCCAGAAAGGAAGCCTGTGGAGCAGGCAGACAGGAAGAGAAAAAGGCTCAGACACTAAGGCCACTTCTCTCAGACCAAGTTGAAAATAAAGAAAGGTGGGTACAATGTAGTTCTTGATCAAGGTTCAGCAGTGTGGAATAGGGGCTGGCAAGATGGCTTAGTGGTTGAGAGCACTAGCTGCTCTTCCAGAGGGCCCAGGTTCAATCCCTAGCAATCAACATGGCAGCTCACACTTGCCTGTAACTTCAGTTCCAAGGAATTCAACATCTTTGCACGGACATACATATATGCAGGCAAAACACCAATGCACATGAAGTAAAAATATATAATCCATGAAAAAAAATGTTGACATCAGAATGGCTTTGAAGGTTAAGATACATGTGCATGTGAAGCCAGGTGTGGTGGTGGCTCGTGCCTTTAATCCCAGCACCTGGCAGGCAGAAGCAGGCAGATGGATCTGAGTTTGAGGCCTCCCTGGTCTACAGAGTGAGTTCCAGGACAGACAGGAATACAAAGAAACCCTGACTCAAAAAAGGAAGAAAAGGCACACATGAGGACAAAGGGACATTTCTTTAAGCATTGTCTATATCTTTAGTGCTTTCCCTATGTTTTGATTTACTGTGTGTTCAGCGGACAAGGAAGCAGAATGAGAGGTCTAATGAGTGCTCTACTAGGGATCTGGTGTCCTCCAAAGTGCTGAGCACTTGAGCCACAGAGACAATGGAGGTGGATGAAACTTTAGGCAGTGGGACCTGGTGGAAGGAAGCGAGAGCCTTTCATTTTAACATGCTCTCAGCATGATGTAGTGAGTAAGAAACAATTGGACCAAGACTGACTGAAGACCGAAAAGAGAAACTGAGGAAATAAAACTTTCCTTCTCAGAAGCATTTTGTCACAGTAACGGAAAGCTAACAGGAAGCTGCACAGCAAGCAAAAGCAGAGTCGGCTCTGTGGGAAGAGACATGCTCCCAAGACTTATGTCCTGAGTTTGATTCCCAGATGATGAAAGAAAGGAATCAACTCTTGCATATTTAATTCTGATCATGGTACATGAACCCACATACTTGTATACACACAAATGAATAAAGGTAAAAGAAGCTTTTAAAAAATGCTATGGTTATTACTCACATCTCAGTATTTATTATTACACACAAAATAGACATTCAGAAAGGTATGTAAGAGACGGGCCTCTAGGACTTGAAGTGAAAAGGTCAGCTTTAGAAGTGAAAGGTTAAGGCAGCTAGTGAGATTTTTTTTTTTTTCTTTCAAGACAGGGTCTCTCTTCTGTATAGCCCTGGCTGTCCTGGAACTCACTCTGTAAACCAGGCTAGCCTTGAACTCTCGAACTCAGAAATCCGCCTGCCTCTGCCTCCCAAGTGCTGGGATTAAAGGCGTGCGCCACCACCGCCCTGCAGCTAGTGAGATTTTAAAGTTCTGACATTAAAGAAATCATGCTTCTACTTATTTGTGATTTTGTTTATACAGAACTCTGTTAGAACATATCTTTATTATGCATGAAAGCCTGGCTGTGCTACAAGTTCATTCCACATAACCTGAGTATTATATAAAGCTAAGACTCCTAAACAAGGAGCTGTGTGGCAGCACTCAGGAGGTAGAAAAGTTAGTTCAAGACCAGCCCTGCTATATGAAAACCTGTCTTAAGACAACAATAGCCAGGTATGTGAGTGTGGTAGCATGCCCCTTTACTCTGGTACTCAGGAGGCAGAGGCAGATAGATCTCTGAATTAGAGGCCAGCATGCTCTAGAGTGAGTTCCAGGGCTAGAGAGATCCTGTCTCAAAAAACTAAAACCAAACCAAACCAACCAAAACCCTGGAAGGTGGGGAATGTAGGTTAGTAATGGGGTACTACAGCATGCACAAGATTCTGGGTTCAAAGCCTGGCACTTACTACAAGGCCAAACAAAACAAAACATCTGTATTCTACTTTTATCTAGGTCTAAATACTTAACGCATCAAAGATCCTACTGCTGAAGACCTCACGTGGTAGGTCACAGAATGCAGTGGTTTGAATTAGGACTCCATAGGTTCATATATTTGAATACTCAGTCCCTAGCTGGTGGACCAGCTTGGAAAGAATTAGAAGGTACAGCACTGTTGGAGAAGGTGTGTCACTGAGAGTGAGCTTTTGGTTCCAGAAGTCCCCACCATTCAGTTAGCCCCCTCTCTTTTCCTCTGCCTCTCTTTTATGGATCAGACACAAGCTCTCAGCTACTGCTCTAGCCCCATGTCTGCCTGCTGCTCTGGTCTCCATCATGATCACCATGGACTAATCCTCCGGAACCATGAGCCAGAGATTAAATGCTTTCTCTTATAAGCTGACTGGGCTATGGTGTTTTGTCATGGCAATAGAACAGTAACTAAGACACAGGATACAGAGAAATTGAGCAGGAACTGGGAACAGGTTCATCCTGCTGCTAGTTTTGGAGATGCTATACAGATTCTGGGGAAGAACTGTCATCAACACTTATACCTTGTTTTGGATCCCATGTGACATGAGACCAACCTGTCAAACAAAATATGCTACTAAAACAGTGGCAAGTCTGCTATGGGTAAGCAACTGCTACCTGATTGGATTTGAGATCTACTTTACAGAAAGTGGGATCCTTTCCTCATCATTAAACTGGCAAAAAGCCCACGGCTGGCCTCAGTGGAGAAGCTACGGATGTAATTTTACTAAATGGATATGATATGCCGATCAATTTGCCTTCTAATAACCATGTTTATATTTGTATATTATTGCTGCTGTCAGCTTTGGTCAGAGAAGCTGCTTTTTGCAGTGGAAAGCAGTAACTGCAGACTCCTAACTGATCATTGTGATTAAAATAATTGACAGCTATCAAGTGGTCAACAATATCATCCCTCTCCCTGAGGATCAGGAAACATCACAGAAGAAAGAATATAAGAGCTGAGGATGGGAGGGCAAATGGTGTGGAATGTTGGCTCCAGGAACAACATGGCCACTCTTGCAGTCAGAACGTCTGTGATCATCTCTATGAAACTCCCACAACACTGGGTCTCGTGGGAGCAGGAGCTCCCAAGGTACCACCTTCCCTGAGGATTTATTCACAATGAATGGATGCTGGAGGGCGGGGCTCTTTCTTTAGTGATATGCTCACTGTAAATAACACATTGCTCATGCTTCTGTAAGCAACCTTAATGTAACTCACTGGGTCACCAAAGAAACAGATAACAAAAACCACCGAAGATAACAGAGCATCAAGGGGACAAATGGGAGGAGGAAAGGCGATCGCAGGGATGAGGGGGGAGAAAGGGTAATGGGAGGAATATAATCAAGCACATCATAAACACACACAAATTTCATAATGAAAATATGTATGATTTATATACACTAATAAAACAAATCAACATCTGGACAAGCTATAAGGAATTTAGCTTTAGTTTTTATACTTTGTTGAGTCTATATAGGCATAACTCATCTTAGTATCTACAGTTCAAACAGATTTGGGGAGGTTAGGGTGGTGCTCTGTGGTGGAGAGCCTGAGTAGTGAGCATGAAGCTCTGAAGCTGATCCACATCATAGAGAACGAAGGGACAGTCTTTCAGATTTGGTTGTGCACTGTGAGCAGTAGTAGCACATGGGTAGTCAAGGTATTCCTCAAAGTCAGGATAAGAGATGGAGAAAAGGAGACGTTAGATAATAGGTATTTAAGCAACATTTTAAAAGAGCCCATCCTTCGATGATTTAAATGTGAGGACATAGCAGTGAGTGGTTCTGCTCGATAGCAAGGAATCAAAATCATCCCGCGGGGCAGTGCTAAGAAAGAAATTGGAAAGGGGCATATGTGACAGGAAGAGCTATGAGACAAAGTCATCAGAATGCATCATCCTCTGTTCAGGTGATTTGGAAACAGGCCCTCATGTACAGTAGTTAGTGAGTCACATGGAAGAAAGGACGAATGTCAGCAGCTCATCTGACAAATGGATAGGAATAGCACAGCTGGGCTAAACCTTCATGACGAGAGACAAGCGGGCCAGATCACAGATGTGTGTAGTGCAGTAAGGCTTATGGGTCTTTCTCTTGGTAAGGTGGAGCATTATTGTGAGGGAAGGACATGCTCCGACACACATGTTAACAGGACCAGCCCGGCTGGTTCACCTTTAGGGTGAGGGCAGATTCAGGAAGACTAGCTGTGTACTGAGTGCTATGTTGGGGCTTCAGATGGCAGGAGCCTGGGTCAGAAGTAAAAGATGGTCAGATACATTTACAAAGCATGAAAAACTGCCCTCATGCTTTGCTAAGAGTAAAATGGGCATTTTTAAAAAAATGACATTTATTTATTGTGTGTGTATGAGTACCATGTGTACAAATGTACTATGTGGAAATCAGAGAGCAACTGGCAGGAATGAATTTTCTCTTTCTATTGTATGGTCCTGGGGATTGAAGCTAGGCTGCCGGATGCTTCAGTAGTACAACTGATTAGGTTAGCACTTATACAACAGTACACTTACGCTGTCAGCCTTGGCATCAGGTACCTTCAATCACTATGTCATCTTACCACCCCCAAATTGTGTATTTTAAGGGCAGCAAACATGTTATTGTCAAGCTGTACCCGGGTATTTGTTTCAATTGTTAATTTTATTATGATCTGAGTATCTTGTGCAATGAAAAAAATGTTTATGGTTATTTGAAAAAAAATGAGCTAGATTAATTATTGAGGAAAAAAATGTAACTAAAAAGAGAATTATTAGTTTAAACACTTTTAGCATTATCCTAAATTCACATTCTTTTCTTAATATTTCAAAGGTATTACATATTATGAAATGTATTTTGCCGAGTCAAGTGTGAAATAAATCTCTGACTGAATGATTTCTGAGTTTTGAACCCAGGGCCTTGGGAATGGCAGGCAAGCACTCTGCTGAAGTGGATGGTTGAGTCTGCATCACTTGACATTTCCAAAACTTTCTACTTCACTCTACTGTTGTACCACAGCTAGAGCCATGACAACTGTTCAATTACTCACTGTTTGCAGTGCACACCAAAATCTTCTATTTTATTAAGTGGGATAGTCTGGTACTCAGAAGGTCCTTCATCAGGAGGTTTGTAGCCCTAAACAGAAACAAAGAAAACAGAAAACTGAAAATAACAAAAAGCAAAGTTTTCTCTGCAGCTTCTTATGTATGGGACCAAGTTCAGGAGAGGAAAATAGTAGACATCAATATTTTACTAACAGCTGGGCCTGGTGATTTACACATGTACTAGGGAGGCAGCGACAACTGCTGGCGCTGTATACCTGTGCTGATACACACTGTTGACTACAGGCTCCTTTTAGGAAAGGAGATGAATTTAGCTTGTTTCTCTGTCAAATTGCCATGAGTACACAAATGTTTCCTGGTAAATAAAACCCTTTGTCTGGCAAGAATAATATATATATATATACATAATATATATAAAATATTATATATATATACATAACATAAACATATTATTGTTTGATATGAGCTGTAGCAGAGTTTGCAATTTTGTATTAAAAAAAATCCTCTACACTAAAAAAGATATTACTCTGTGCAGTGGTGGCACACGTCTTTAATCCCAGCACTTGGGAGGCAGAGGCAGGTGGATTTCTGAGTTCGAGGCCAGCCTGGTCTACAGAGTGAGTTCTAGGACAGCCAAGGGTACACAAAGAAACCCTGTCTCCAAAAAAAAGATATTACACAGGTTGTGTATATAGCTCAGGGGTAGAGTACTTGCCTAGTACTATTGGCACTGGAAAAAAAAAAGCTTGTGTATAAATGTGAGAAGCTAGATTTGGACCCCACAACCCACACAACACAGGCCTGCTTAGTGCACATCTGCATGTCCAGCTGTCTATGGTCAGATGCAAAGTGGAGATAAAATCCACACAAGCCAGCTAGCTTGTACACAGTGAAAAGTAAAAGATCCTGTCTCAAACAAGGTGCAAGGAGACGACTAACTCCCAAGGGACTCTTCTGACCTGTAGACCAGTGCCTGTACTCATGAACACATCACCCCTGAGATGACACACATTCGTAATCCTAGTTCTTCAGGTGTAATTCAAGGCTAATCTCAACTACATGAGATTGCCCCTTCATAGCCCCTCTATCCAAATTACCTTTGGATATGTCCTAAAGGCGCCAAGATTCACTTTTCCTGCAGATATTGTTCTGGTTGGGTCAATCTACAAAGAGACAGATAGTCAACATAAGTCACATACTTTACTGAGTCAACATCAGAAACCAAAAACAAACCAATATAGCACCACATACACGTACACCGATTTAGTAAACAATCTGAAAATAACCAAAATAATTAGAGAAGTTCAGTGAAATAGGAATACATCAGATAAATCATTGATTAGACTGATTATTGATTAGTTATTATATCATCAAAGAGTATTTATTTAGTATTATTTAAGCTGTGCATGCTACTTGGCAAGACCATATCTTTTAAACAAATGAATTAATGGAGAAACTGCCCTCCCATTCCCATCCCCTTTAAGAGATGAAAGACTGTTTGTTTCCTCCCAAAAATCCCAGATTGCATTTAAAACACTCTGGACATAAAACAAGACAGGTTCCAGCCATTTCTGCTTCTCCAATTCAGTCAACCCTGATTAAATGCCTATGGGATAGTGTGAGGTACAACAAGGTTAAGACTCCCTAGGTAGACTAACACCAGAGCTTCATTCTTTACCACACTGTTTTCCAGTATTCTTTCTTTTTATTATTATTTTATTCATTTATTTATTATATATGAATACACTGTAGCTGTCTTCAGACACACCAGAAGAGGGCATCAGATCTCATTACATATGGTTGTGAGCCACCATGTGGTTGCTGGGAATTGAACTCAGGACCTCTGGAAGTGCAGTCAGTGCTCTTAACCACTGAGCCATCTCTCCAGCCCTCTCCAGTATTCTTTCTTTAGCAAATTTTCTTGAAGAACTTAATGAAAGCATCCCTGTAAAAACCCATGCATAGATATGCACGTCTGTAGTCTTAGCACTGTATGGAAGGAGAGGAGAGGAAGGTCTGTAAACTGGTCAGCCAGCCTAGGTAAAATAGTGAGCCCCCAGTTAGTACTTACCACCACTGCTACAAAGGGTTCCTGAAACTGCTGGTTAAGCATCTGTGTGCTAACATCAATCCCGGAGAGCCAGCAGCCATAACCAGGGTGGCTATGATACCAACCGATTGCATTCTCAAGGCGGCCAACCTAACACATCAAAGAAAAAGCTTGCTTGAGATATGGTTTAATCTCAGAGATACTGTCATTTACAGGTTTTATGTAGCACTGTAGTCCAGTAACAGTGCACAGCACATATTGCTTTGAAGTTAAGGAATTTCTGAACAGACAATACATGCTCACTGTGTAAAACAATCAAGGTACAAGAACAAGGGTATCCAGTCTCCTCCTCTATCTTCCCCCTCATCTGTTTCTCAGCCCAGACATTATCACTCTAACATCTCGCAGATACTCTATAGATTAATATAAACACATCTGCACATAGCTGCATATCACACACTATACTTTTTTTTTAAATTGAAGAAACAATTCTAGAGCTTGTTTCACATAAAGACGCAGATAGCTTTTTAAAAAACCTGCCTACATAGTTCATTATAGTCCATTAATAGATATACTATACTATACTCAGGAATAGTTCATTCATAAATTTGTTGTTTTTTTTGAGGGATATTGGAGATATTGAACTCGGGGCTTATGAATACTAAGCATGAACTCTACCAGGAACTTACATCTCCAGCCTACATTTTTTGTTTTTATTTTAAACACAACTGATAGTGAAAATGAAAATGTATCTGGGAAGGACTTCTTACCCTAACCCAATATTATAAATCTCACAAGACTTTTAAAATTTCTCATAAAACTATTCAATTTAAAATACAGAATTTAATGTGAAAAGGACAGCTTCAAGTTCAGAAACCCAGAAGTCATCTTGAGACTCTTAGAGGTTTTTAAACTTAAGAAACAATATTTTTACCTGTTTGGCATTTTCTATGTATGCAGCCATATACTCATACGCAGCAGCCTGAGCATTTACGCGGGTTTCAGTGCCCTCTACAGGCAAAGCAAAACTGTCCATGATGATCATGGTCTCACCGTCGACTTTCCCAAGCATCAAGCCCATCACTTCCAAGTTGCCTCCTGATCTGGCATGCATCACCATTTTCAGTAGAGCTAGTGCTGAGATTTTGCAGTATTTAAAGTAGTGGTGACTACAAAACAAAATCACACTGTGCTTAAGGCTTTTATCTAACGTACAACTTCAGAAGACAGTTTCTGTGAAAATGAGTAAGTTCTGAAGGAATTGATAGTGGTGAAAGGAGTGTGGAATGTGGGAAGAAAAAAAAGGCAGTAAGCTCGAGGTGCTTGGAAACAACATGTCACACAGGTCGTCGGCTCAGCCACTTAGGGAAAATAGTCTAAATAAATTTTAAATATGCCGATGAAGTGACGGAATAATGATTAACTCCATAGGTCTTTTTTCTCAACCAACATGGAATTATTATAGCTGATTACCTTCTTAGGCCTAGCTTTCTAACCTTGTTATTAATTAAATAACTTATTATCTGTGGTACATGCTTAATAATGTACTACCAGATGGTGTGTGGAGATGACAGAGGCTGTCAGGGGTCTTTCTCTAGCTTTTTTTTCTTGTTTGTTTGTTTTGTTTTGCTTTTTGATACTAGGTTTTTCTATATAGCCCTGGGTGTCAGTAGACCAGGCTGTCCTTGAACTTAATCACCCACTTCTGCTGAGATTAAATTCGGCTGTCACCATGCCCAGCTCCTTTTCCTCTATGTTATTACTTCATTCCCTTGTGACAGAGCCTCTTACTGAAACCTTACTGTTTTGGCTAGGCTGGCTGACCAGCTTACGGACCTTCCTCTTTCTGCTTTCCTTCCATATAGTGCTAAAAGTTTACAGACACACATAACCATGCATGGACTTTTACATAGATGCTGGGGATTTAAACTCAGATCTACATCCTTGATAGCAAGTACTCTTACACACTGAGCTAGAGGACTTAGTTTCTACAAATGTGGCCTCTGAAATCGACCTGTTTAGGTCTAAATCTTACACTGACACTCCCTGAGAGAGTAGAGCCACTTAATGTCTATGCCAGATCACATATCTATAAATAGGTATTTCGCCTGTTAGTATGAAAAGGACACAGTAAGGGCTTAGCTTAGTTCCAGAAACACTAAAATCTAAGGTACTGTTATCAGCCTTATTAACCTGCTTTTTAAGATATTCTCAAAGAAACAGTGTGTTAGCTTGTAGTTTCCTTCTGATAGCATCTTGGGAATTAAAAAGTAGATCTAGTATCCTTATTTCTGTGACAAACCATTCTATGTGATTAAACTCTTGAACAACATTTTAAAATCACTGATGTACCCTGCATGTTAAAATAAACATAAGTATAGCCATAGATGGTGAGAAAGTCATGAATTTACATTCATCTAAAATGTGCAGCTTGCTTTAGGAACAGCCATGTAATCTATGCAGGTCATTCAGAGTCAACATGGCCTGTTGGATGCAAGCAACCAAATATAGCTTCCAGCTTTTGCTAGATTTTAACCACAAGCTTTCTGAGACTATCTTAGAAATCAAGACATAAATTTAAAAATTGGCTCCTACATCTACTTGGGGAAAACAACCTTACTATGCTCTTACTATATATGGTTCATCCAGAACTTTTTAATAGATTACTTTATCTAATCTTCATGATATCATTAATAGCTATATTTAACCTTTATCTTATATATAAGTTTAGATACTTTAGTTTCCTAATACCAGTCAAGAGTTTAAGTGACAGTTAATGAGACTTGATTTTCAGTCTATTGCACATAAGTTCATTGTTGTAGTATGATCATGAGGTGAGTTTCTGAATGTATTTATTTTCCTATTTACAGAAAGGTAAAGAAAGTACAGTACTGGACTGTCATGATTATTAAATGACAAGAAAATCATCAGGACAGTACCAGGCTCACAGTTAAGAACTCAGTAAACCCTGAAAACAGAGTACTGACAGTTAAAAGTCAGCTTTGCCAACAAAGCAAAGTACCTGGAAACAGCAAGACAGTTTACACAGCAATCTTTTGTAGTTTTTTTCTTCAGTCTCCTTAGCACAATTTGCCCTCAAGAATCTTTTGACTTGTCGTCAGTCCCAAAGATACATGGATTTGGCTAGGGGGCAAATAGCCTCTAAGCTATTTTATAATTCCTGGCTTACGTGAATTGTTGTAGTAGTATTCTAGAGAACTGGTAAGAGGATTTGGTATGTCTCTAAAATAGTTACAGGGGGAATAAAGTGCTAAAAAAAAATCACCCCAAGAGGTCATGGCTTTTTTTTTTTTTAGATCAATGCCCTGCTCATTCGATTTCTGAAAACAGCCACGCTTTTCAGTTTGGGATCCACTGAAGGCTGCAACAAATTGCATGTAGTCATCAGGTTCAAGGCAGAGTATGAGATTTACGAAAATAATCATGTTGAGAGAGTCGCACCCTAAGGCAGCTCTTTACACCCCCTGGAGGCAAGAAACTTTCTAAAAGGGGAATCGAAGCAGGCCCTAGAGGACAGGTAAGGCTCTACTGCTAAGGCAGACTAAAACCACTGTGGCCAGTATTCTGTCGACGCCCCTCAGAAGGCCAAGCTCTCCACACCCTTCATCTCCCACCCCTAGCGGGCCTCTCACAGTCCCGCCATCCCTTCCCTCCCCTGCGTCTCGCCAGGGACCTCCTCACTCCTTAGTCCAGGGTTTCGCCGCCAGGATTTCTTGTTGTTGTTTTTTGTCATATTTGTAGATTTCATCGATACTCTGCGCTTCCTGCATGTTGTTGGCCAATTCCCAGGTTTTCTGGGCCATACCACTCCCGGAAGCTGCCATGGCCGAGGGACCGGAGAAGCTGTCGTCTCCACAACCAAAATGCAACTTTATTCTACTGGGCCTCAGCGTGCAGGCTTTGCACCTTCCCCACCACGGGTGCACACTCACTAGACTCTCAAGGCAGCCATGACACTTGAGACCGGAGGTGACGTTGGTCCAGACCATTCGCGCGTCGGGGCGCGGCGGCGGCGCAGCGACATAGAAAACGTTTTCTAAGGGTTGGCTCGGCTCGGCTAAGAATAGTCTTGTGGATGAAACGAGAACATGCCGGCTCGGAAATCCGTACGTGTGAATTGCAAGGGACGCAAAGTATGGGTGTGGGAATGGTACAGCCTTTCGCGCCGGAAGGCGGGCGTGTTGACCTGCCAGGAAGGGGTCGGCCGTCTCGGCTCGTACTGCGCAGACTCGGGTTCCGCCATGTTGCGTTCAGGAGGAAACTTGGGTTTGGGGCGCCAATATATTTATGTGAGCGTAGGTGCTTCAAACGAAATAAATTGTTTGGAATGCTAAATGTCTGTAGAGAAACAGAGGTGTAAGTATCTCCGGATTATTGGTTTTGGAGAGGGAAGATCACGTGACAGACTCTTTACGCTGGTTCGGGGAGTGTAAAGCCTCTCGGGTTTGTGGTTGGTGTTTCGCTTTTGTGTTTTCGCTACTGTTGCGAGGTGGCAAGCAAAACTCACCGGTTGCTTAAGATTAACTTTTTGACGAGTTTATAGGGTAACATTCTATACAAGTGTTAGGAGCTCTGAATGCCTTAGGCCCAACTTTAATTTTAAAGAACGTTTGTCTCAGTGCAGAATTAATCTGGGCAGTTGTGCCTTCCAGCAGTTAATGTGAAATTTGTTTCAGTCGTATTTTTTAGGTTTTCTTCCCTCACATTCTCATCCTCAAATGCCTACAAGACTGTAAGTTGAAGGCATGCATGAAATTTGTGTTTATTTAATTCTAATATTTTTTTTTCGTAACACGGTTCTTACAGACGTATCCAGCTTCATCATCTTTTAGCTCTCCTGACCCAGCTTTTCATTCTATTAGAACTTTTTTCTTGACTTAGTAATATATTAGTTGTTTAGCATTGCTTGAAATGCACTTTTTGACCTTTCTGCTTTAGAACACACAGTATTTAAGAAGCACAGCTCGGAGATGCCTTTTATAAACTCTTTGACAGTAACTGCTCCTTCCACAGGAACTTGAAGGCTCTTGTAGCTGCTTCACATGAACGTTTTGTTTTTCCCTGTAAGCTTTGTGTTGTATCTTTTTTTTTTTTTTTTCTCCCCGTGACGGGGTTTTGCTGTTTTTGAACTCGCAATGTAGTCCAAGCTGGCCTAAAACTCAAGTGATCCTCCTGCCTCCTGAGTGGTGCCCGGTTGAATCCTCTTGTAATGCAGGTGTTTAGCAGACAAATTAGCTAAAAACAAAAGAATTGTTAACTCTTCACCACAACTGTTGGTTTTGATTTTGGATTCAGAAGTTGGAGGAAATTGGAGCGTGGTCACATCTTCCTCTAACCCAGCAGTTGGGAAGTTGGGCTAGGAGTATGAGTTACAGAAAAGTCTTCCCAAAATAGCGATTTGAGGTTAGCCTGGGCTACAGGAGACCCTGTCTTAAAAAGCCAAGGAGCTGCGGCAAACAAAACAGAGCAAGGACCAAACAAGCAAGGAGGTTGCTACATTCTTGTAATTCCTAATTCTTGTAAGTTATTTGGGAGAATCAAGAGCTCATACCCGGCTTTCTCCCTGGACTATTTTAGACCTTGTGTCAAAATAACGAAACAAAAAATAAACTAGAACCTTTTTACAGTATAACTTTCGGGACACTAGGGACATCAGTATCTTTAGTTCTTTCTGAGAACTTTTAGTTTTTTCTGAGACTCTTTTCCAGTGGTAACAATACACAGCCACTCGGAACATACAGGAAAGCCCAGGACAGAGTTGACTAGACTGCTAGTGCCGGTATTCCTCTTCTCACAGCCACACTACTTGACTGGAGACCGCCCTGGGCTTGGACGGCTGGGATAGATTTAGCCTGGGAGTGGCCACATGATAGGAATCCGGGGCGCAGTAGCGGGTGCGCCGTGTAGCCTCCGGGGCTGCAGGGGGCGCCCTCAGCCGCGCGGCCTCAGCTGGCAGCCAGCGGGGCGGGGCCGCGCCTGGCCGTTGGTGGAGAGCGGGCGGGGGGCTGGGCCTGGGAGGCGGAGCCCTGAGCGGGCGACCGGTTGTTTGGTCCACGGCGGGGTCGCCGGACCCTCGACTGTGTAGCCCACTGGAAGCGTGGATACTCGCTGGTAGTAAGTCCGTGAGTGGCGGGTGTGGAAAGCTGCGCGAAGAGTCGGCGCCTGGGGGCTGGAGGCTGGGCCCAGGTCGCTGTGGCCGGGTGGGGGTTCGAGCCTGCCAGGAGGAGCCGGGAAGCTCCGGGGAGCCGTAGGGTGGGGGGGGGCAGGGTGGGAGGCGCGAGGCGATGGCCCGGCTAAGTCCCAGGTTCTGGTCTCGAGGCCGCCGGGCTGGGGGCGGTGCCCTGCACACGCGCTGCAGAGTCCCGGGTGGCCTCTGGGCCAGCTGGTTGCCTGACAACGTGTTGACGCTTTTCAGAGCCATCTGCCACCCGCTGCGTCTCTGGAGACCTTAGTGGCTCTCCAGCGCCTTATCTTCTGTTGGTGCTTCGCAGCTCCTAAGCCTCATAGAGTGCTTGCACTTAGGGGGTTGGTTAATGTTTTACACTTTGCAGATTAAACTTTATCTTCTTCGTGTCCCTATGAAATTTGCTGCTTTTTTCTCACTGTGGCTGGTTGATGAGATAGAGCCTTCTTTCGCTGCCTTGATTTTAGTATGGAATTTGAATCTGGTTAGAAAGAAATACATACTGTGTGTGTGTGTGTGTGTGTATGTGTATGTATGTATGTATGAGTGATATATGTGATGTGGAGATGTTCTCTCTCCTCCCACAGAATCCTGGCTGCCAAACTCGGTTATCAGGCATGGCTCCAATGTCTTTACGTTTTGAGCCATTTTCCCAGGCCCTGAATCAAGTTTTCATTAAATATTAGCAGTGAGACTCATCTTCTGAGATGCAGCTGGCTCTGAAGAAAATAGGATTAAGAGGCTAAAGTAGAAGTTTTGATAAGACCTAGTTTTCAAACAGTTTATACAGTATAAAGTCCTAAAAGCAATCAATACAATTTTATAGCTGGGTGTGGCAGCACATGCTTTTAATCCCACCACTTTGGAGACAGAGATAAGCAAATCTCTGAATTCTAGGCCAACCAGAGCTACATAGTGAGACCCTGTCTCCAGTGCAAGAAAAGAAAAGAAGAGAAAAGAAGAGGAAAGAAAAGAAAGGCCTTATAGAAAGCCAGTTTTCTAAGAAGCTTAGTTTTACATGGAAGAATGGTTTTTCATGGTTGATAAGCAAAAAAGAGCCCGAGGAAAGTAGGGAGACAGTGTGTGTGTGTGTGTGTGTGTGTGTGTGAACTTTCTGGTGTCAATTATTTGCTGACATGTTCCCATTGAGAGGATCTTGTGGGAGGGGAGCAGATAGGTTTAGATAAGGCAAACAGGAAAGGATTCTTTCAGGACACCTTTTCTCAAATGTTGTTTTCAGAAAAGCGTGGCTTAACTATTACAAACTTAAGCAAATTCCATCGTTTTGGTTGTGAGCCTAGCCTTTAATGCCTGAGACATCACCAAACAGCATCCTGAAGTGTTTGAGCAGTGTATTAGCAATTCTGCATAGTCAAAGCTACTCCATGTATGCCTGCTGTTGCTGTTACTGGTGTGTTATTGGTGATAGTTGCTCAGGCTTCAGATGCTTTCATTTATTTATTTGCTCGCCTCATCCTCTTCCCTGAGCAACACAGCATATGCTTCTTTAGCAACATTCAGAGTGACTTGTCAAAATGTGGGTGTACCCCTGTCAAATGCTCACATAAATGTCCTCTGCTAAGGAGAAGAAGACTGCGAGATCCTTTCTGGGTGGATTAATGAGAAACTTCATCTTTCCCTTTGTCTTCTATGCCTGCCCTTGCCCCCATCTACATCTTATTTCTCCCTGAGTATCTGTCCCTAGTTTTTTCTCTTGTAGTGAGTCATTTTCTCCAGGCACCTACCTCCTATACTTTTAATATTTTGGGGGTATGATATTTGTGAGATAGGTTCTCCCTGTGTAGCCTAAATTACACCTCCCAAGTCCTGGGATTATAAGTATGAGCCACATAACAAACAAGATGTGCCCCCACCACCGGGTGTTTGGAATTGCGTGGCAGTGATCTACTAAGTTACAGCCCCAGCCAATAACAAACACGTATACATATATATATGGCCCCCCAAACCCAGTGTCAACAGAAATATAAATATTGCTATTTTTTTGGGACAATGTCTTGCCATATAATATGCTCAAGCTGTCCTGGAACTCACTATATATATTTAATGAAAGTTCTAGACATTTTAATTGTTGGTATCTTTACTGAATCCTTAAATACTATCTCATATTTGCTCCCCAAATCCTAGACTGACTAGACTGTCATTATTGGCAGGGGATATGATCTAAATATTAGTGTAAGAATCATGTGTTATTTTATTCACCCTCCCCACAAATCTAGCATCCCTTGCAGTTTAGAATAGTACCCTGCTTTACAAGGGGAGTCATGTTCTGTTTCCCATGCTTCCATACTGGGGAGAGTATGCGCCCTGTCCTACTTGGGAGAGGAAAGGATGGAGAGAATGTTTCCCCTTGTGTTGAGTTGGACTATGACAACCAGGTATCAGTAACGATTTAAATCTCACTATATTTTAAATCTAGAGGTTTTCCCTCCATTTCTCTCCTACTCCCTCATTCCCCCCCTTTCTCTCACTTTTTCTTTTACTTTGGTTTTTGTTTTTTTTTTTTTTTGTGGGAGAGGTTAGGGTAGGGCCTTCTTTATTTTAGAAATTGATTTAGAATATATGCATGCTAAGTACATGCTCTGTTTCTGAGATGTACCTCCAGCCTGGATGCTTTTAAAAAAGTGAATATACAAAGATTAAATAATACAGTGAATACAGTGATAGTTAATAAAGTAACTGGCTTAGTATCAGCTTTTTTGTTACATGTGTGATGCATTATTTTTTTCTATATAACTGTAGTAAGTAGTATTTCAATTTTATAAATGGAGACTCTTAGACATAGATTAAAGAACATATCTTACATTAACCAGAATCAGTAAATGGTACACACTGGATTTCTAGTCCAGATAGTCCAGATCTTTTGGTGAAACTTTTGTTATTATTACTTTTATTCTTTTACAGTTCAGCCATTACCCTCTCCGCCCCCCCCCCCCCCCTGTATCCA